ATGGTAATTGTCCCGTAAGTAGCCTTAGTACATATGATTGATTACCCTTTAGATGGTCTGCACTGACTCCTCCATCCTCACTCTCTGTGCCAGAGCACGGATGGCAAGTAATGAGGCTAGACAGTGTCTCCGGGTGGTTCCAAATGTGGGCTTTGGGATCACACAACTTGAGTTTGGGTCCTGACTCTCCTACTTAACAGCTGTGTGCTTCTCCAAACCTTTCATTAAAATCAATGGAAATCCCATTACACTGTGCCAAGTGCATAGTAAACCCTGAAGATACTGTAACTATTATTATCACCCTAATAATAAACCTTGGACATTACTCTCAGGAAGTTTAGACTATTAGAAGCTTGACAGAGGTTTAGAGGTCATTTAATGAAACACCCTCCCTTTGAAGATCACAAGGACCAGGGGGATGAAGTCGCAGAGCAGAGATAAGACTAGGGCACAGGACTCTTTTCCATTCAACCATGAAGCTCTCAGACCTCATGGGCAAGGACAAATAATACTCAGCTTATTTTGGTCAACGGTAGTGAGAAAGGACCAGTGACAACCCTGAAGACACTCGCTTTGTGTGGGCTGAAGCCTTGGGGAGGCCCGTGGTGGTCTCCAAAGGGGTTGTGTTCAGGGAGAAGAAGGACAGGCAGGTGCTGCCAGGGGCCAATGTTACTTGGTCTCATTAGAGAGACTCACAGAGCAGATCGCTGATGGGATTAGATTTCCCTGCAGCTCTAGCTTTCCCCACCTGTCATGTCAAATTCTTTCATCTGAAGGGATCAGACCCACTGTGCCTAGTGTGTTGATGTTACCTTGGTTGCAACTTTATTCCCATCAACAATGGGATTTAATAAGCAGCCTGGAGAGTATAGAACCAGAGTCCAGCAAACGACAGCCCATGGGCCAAATCCAACCTAGCCACCTGTTTCTGTAACTAAAGTTTTATTGGCACACAGCCATACTCATTCATTTATGTATTGCCTATGGCTGCTTTTGTGCTATAACAGCAGAATTGAGTAGTTGGAGTAGAGACCCCATGATCTGTAAACCTAAAATGTTTACTGTCTGATCCTTTACAGAAAAGGTTTGCCAACATCTGGTATAGAGCCTTGTCAGCTGCTTAGGAGACCATGGCCCTCTCTAGCCTATGGAAGGATCAACTGACTCCTTCAGGATATTTTTATGCCCCTGGCATAAATGAGATTTCATTAATACAACTGAAAAGAAATGTAGACTTATATAGATTCCCCTTATAATTCAAAGGTCATCTCTTCTTCCATGTGGATATGAAAGACAACTGTCCATCTCCTCTAAGAGTGGGTCTAGTTCTGGCTGCCCTCTTATTCTGAGGCATGGAGGAGATGGAATCAGTTGAAGAGAAAGCAAGGCCATTCCATGCATTACTTGGATAGTTAAAAGAGCCATCTGTTAAGGAATTTGTGTGCTATAAACCAGGTACTTGCCATACATTGTTTTGTTTATTCATTATAACAATCCTATTAAGTAGGATGGTTGTCCCCATTTTACAGAAGGGTAAACTAAGGGTGAACAAAAGTCACAGAGTAGTGAGGCAGAGATTTGTAACTGTTTGGCTCCATGTTGTCTGCACATAGGTACAGTAATTCAACTACCTAAATGCCTGACTGTTAGGAGGATGATTGACAGTAGCTAAGATTCGTTCAATCCAGACAAAATAGAGATCTGAGTCATTATGTCTAGAAGTTTGCACTGCAAAATACTAACTGCAAGATACTCATGAAAAAGGTTCAATATGTTTAGAAAACATTGCATACGTTACCACCTTCTTGAGAATGTACAAAGCCATAGCAAGTTGTGGGCTCTGAGAAATTCCACAGTAAAGATCTTATTCAACTTTGTTTAACATAGTGTTTCCTAAACACTTTATCGCTGAATCCTTTAATTAACAACATCCCATAAAACTAGTATTCCAAGAGACACACTTTGGGAACTTTTGAACTAGGTGATGAGGATAATGATGATTGATGATAACGGCTAATAGTTATTAAACAGTTACGGTGAGCCAGGCACTGTCCTAAGAATTTACATGTATTAATTCATTTAACATTCACAGCAAACCTGTGAGATCAGTACTGTTATTAATTCCTCACTTGACAGATGAGGAAACCGAGGCACAAAGAGGATAAACAACTTGCCCAAAGTCGCACAGCTAGTGAGTCCTGGAGTCTATGAGCTCCTCAAACACAGCGATCAGGTATCAATTCATCTTTGCACGGTTTCCACTTAGCATGGTACCTGGCACAAAGTATGTACCTAGTAAATGACAGTTGAACTGAACTGGAGATAAGATCCTAATAAAAAGGAGAAACAACTAAAGTGTGTTGAATAGAACATTTAAAATCTTTAAGTGGTATTTATACAACCAGGGCACTCCCTCATCAATTAGGGTTTCTATTTGTTCCAAGTAAGATTGTATCCTAGATAACGGTCATATTATAAGCCATTTTGTATAGTGTAACCATTTTCATATTTTATTTATTTGATTTAACCCTACTTTAGGTTAATGCAGAGATGATACAAAAATATCTGAAAGTGAAGATCCTATTTAGCCACAAGAAATAATATTTCACTTGAAGGTGCATTAAATTGGGCTTTTCGTGAGGTATAAAATATATTGAAAGAGGCAAAACCACATCCATAAGGAACCACTGTATTGCCTTTGTTGGTAGAGTGGATGGATTTTTTTTTTAAAGTAGTATAATAACAGCTATTGATGATAGTCAATAACAACTTTTTAAATATTATAGACCTAAAATTATCAAGGTCAAATTTAATAGATAAAACACTGGTGAATTTTTAGCATAGATTTGAGGGAAGTGCTAGGGAAGAAAAATCAACACACTTTCAGCTTTAAAAGGAAGAGAAGCAAAATCAGCCTGAGATGACTGTTTTTGTGTCCTGCAAAATAAAAAGGAAATTTATATTTAGCACTTCAGGAACTTCAAATGCAGTGATTAAATGGCATTATTTCCCATCACTCAATGCATTTAATAACAGTTGACACTTAATGAGGGCTTACTCTGCTATTTTAAGCTTCTTGTAGGAATAGCCCTGAGAAGTGAGTGGTATTATCCCCATTTTACAGATGTGGAAAAGGAGGTAGAGAGTTAAAACAGGTAAAATTGTTTTTCCATATTCCCACATCAGTACAAAATGGATTAAGGATTCAACCTCCAATAATCTGGCTTCAGAGTTCATGCCATTAACAGCTATGCTGGGTAAAGAGAAGGTTCAAAGGCTAAAGGAGGCCCCCAGGTCTGGGAGGCAAAATAAATTCCACTACCAATGTCAGTGTATGTCAGAGACTCACTAGGCAGACACCAGATGGCCAAATGTGTCAATGCGGAGTTAATCCTTTCCAATAGGCTCTTCCTTGGTGGTTTGTTCTATGACAGGTTTCCAGAGGTTGAGCATCTTGCCACTTAAGAAGTTCGTCCATTTAAGGCTATGCATTAGTCATGACGGGTAAAGATCTGTTCCTCCACCCACCTCTACCACCAGTGTGTGCCAGGATTTCTAACCCCACAACCTGGCCTCACATATGCCCCACCTCCCCCAAATACCAGTGACTCGCTAACAAATATATTTATGCTGTGATGGTGCATCAGATGCAAAATATTCAGGAACTGTTGCATGCTCCACAGTACTCAGAAAAGTCCAGGAAAAAAATGTTTAAAAGTTTCTTTGGAGAAAGCACAGATGCCTCCATGTTGATGGAAAGGAAAAGTGGAATTTTACAACAAAGCATTGTGGCCAGTATTCCAGTGTGGGAACCATTTGAGAGTTAAACACAGAGCCTTTAAGAGAAATAACAAATTGAGTAAAAAAAATATTGAAAGTTATCTTCATAATTATATTTGTGTTTTAAAATGCCTACTTCCCTTTCCCTTGTTTTGTGAGTGGCATGTGTCAGTTGAAACAACTAAAGAATTTGTTTGCTTGGTGGGCTCCATGAGACATAATAGCATAAGTACTTTAAAAGATAAATACCTAAGCCTTGGGAAGAATGCTTGACAAGAAAAATATATTATTTACAGAAAGATGTATTTTAAACAGATGGCTCAACAAACTCAATTGGATGTAAAAATGGAAATTGAATTTTTAAATTCCTATCAATGAGCATATCAAAAACTTACACATCAAAAAACATACACACTACACATTTATAGAAGATCATTTAATTCTAATTCATACACTTTGATTGTCTTACAATTCAGCATAATTAAACAAAAATAGCTTCTCCCTTCTCAGTTGTACCTTACCGGTCTTATATCTTTTCTCAATTGTGCCTTAAGTGAGTCTTTCTTTTCTTTTTGAAGGTAATCATCAGTTATGGGCGAACGATCTCAAAAAGTCTGATTTATCAAGCAAACAAGCCAGAAGTCGTAGAGCTGATGCTAAAACATAAATATACCTACTTACCTGGATGGCTCTGACATTAGAAACGGGCTGTTTCGACATATTCACGCGGTCTTATCCCTAAAAAGGCAAGTAAGAAACTGTTAGAGATGGCGGCATTCAGATTCTCGGTCTTGATAAATTAGAACTTAACTCATGATTCAACTGGGCAGTCACCCCTTTCAGGGGCCATATATTCTTTCAGTCTCAGTTTCCAAAGTTACTTAGCGACTCTCCTTCCTAATGCCTCGGGGACAGGGAACACTAGAGCGCAGGATAAATCATTCAGGAGGAGAAATGCTGAGATGCCTCGCCTCTGATGCTAATGATAGGCCATCAGAAACTTGAAAGGCGCTATCATCTCCTTCCCTGCCCTCCTGCCCTGCTGCCAAGAGCAGCAAAACAAAGAGGCTGTGGGAATAAAACACCTTTGTTTGGGACCTCAGAAGCTTTCCGCTTGAAACTGAACTTTTGATCTGAATTAGTTGTTGCCAGGGCTGCGCGTCAGTCCATTGAGAGCGCCTCCTCTCTGTTGAACACTCCAAAAGAAATAGCCAGTACCTCATTCTTACTACTGTGATGCTGCCTGCTCACTGTGCACGTGTCTGTTCTACCCAGAGACCTGAGTGGCGCTATGAGGAAGTAGGCCACATCTCCTCCCTGTGTGTCCACAGCCCAGGCTCTATAAACCAGGCAGCTGGCAGGCCTCGCCTTTCTTTTTCTCTTTGAATGAAACAGTCCCAGCAGGCAAATAGGACTTAACATGACCATGTCAGATCCCCAAGATGTAGCAGTGCTTCCTTCCCAAAGGACTTTTGCTTTCTTTCAGCTCATGAGACCAGACTTACAGCAGGGCGACTATGGTTTACCGGAGGGGCAGGGAACAGCCCAGCTCTGTATCACTGTTGTTATAGCTTGGCCTATTAAATGTCAACAGGACTGAGTGAAAAAGTTAAAAACTCGGTGAATTAAAAACTGCTTTTTAAACCCAAACTATAAAATGGGTTGGCTGACGTTCCTAGATTGATTGGCGTAAGTGTACGTGTTAACCGGTGAGGAAATGAACGCAGAGAACAGTGTTGGCATTTGATGCAAGTGCTTTGTAACCTGGACTGTGTCACTCAACATCTGTAGGTCTATTTCCTCTTCCTTAAATTTTACCTGCTTCACAGGTTGTGTAAGAATCAAAATGACATGTTCCTGAAAATGCCTTGTGAACTGTAAAGCATGATACAAATATTGTTTTATTGCCATTGCCCATAGCTAGTGACTTTTTAGTACTACTGTATACTGATCTACAGCTTTAGGTAGAAAGTAAGAGTTGATATAGTGATGTCCCTTAACACTTTGGAGATAAAACATGTGAGAACTCTGTGAGAACTTACTTTTTTTTTTGGAGGTCTTCAAAGTCTTAGGTTCTATTATATGAAGTTAAACCGTTACATAATTTTTTCCAATCTGTGTAATTAGTATATCCAACTATATAGTCTTTGGAGTCACAAGCATGAAAAAAAATGGGATATTTTTTGTTTTACCTGAATGTTTGGTAATATAGAGATATAGCCTCCGTGCATAAGGGTCAGGTAGAATTATTTTTAATATGGCTAAAAGGTTAAAAATCAACACCAAATTGAACAATCAGGAATGCATTTTTCTCTTTGATGTTCCACATAGGTTGCTGTCTTTCCTGCAGTGTCAAAGAATCAATGAAGGATTTTTAATTTTTGTATCTAGGACACACAGCTCAATTTCAAAAGGAAAAGCTTGGTAGTTTAATTTTTAATGTTTCTATTCCTCAAAAGCTATTATGCAAAGCAATAATTCACACAGGACTTTAAATATCTCAGCATATAGTATTCTTTATGTGGGTACAACTAAAGTTTAATTAATATGTCACTTGGGAACTTTAAAAAATTTATTGTACATTGATTTGAAACGTGGGAATTGGGAATTTCTTTATGTTATTAAAATAGTAGGCTGAAATGTAAAAACAAATCAGACAGTGAATGACTGTTATTTATACTGAATTGAATTTTTTAAAATTAGGCTGATTTTGTTTTGTTTTGTTTTTTCAGTGAACTACTGTGTCACTTTGTATTCTGTGGACCTCTAAGCCTAACAGATAGATATTCCTTGGGCCTTGTCTCCTGTATAGCTTTGGTATAATCTCATTTACACACAAATTCCTTCTTAACATATATGTCAATCTGCGAACATCTCTAGAAAGTTGGTCAGATCCCAACTTTCATTCCTTGCAAACAGGCTATAGATAATGTTTGTGTAAATCAGTTCTGCGGCCGTTCCTGCTGTCCTCATTATTCTCAAAGAAATCAGGGCAAAGCACACTGATGATTAAAAATAGACAGTGTTCCCTGGCTGTTTCCCCAGCCCGGCGCTCACCTCCGTTAGGGATGCAGAGCGTAGAATGCACTTTCCTTCTTTATCTGCCGCCTCATCCCGGGACCAAAAACGAAAGCTATGCCTTAGATGCACAACGCCACTCACACTGCTTTTCTTCCAGAGAGGTACCCTTTAAAGCATTCTATTACTGTGTCTCCTGGTTCTGGCTAAAATTTGTAAACATGGAAAGGTTGGCAAGGCATATGTAGATGTTTACAAAGTCTATAGTATAATGGAAGTGCTTGCCAGTTTAGCACAGCTGAGTTTTCCTGGCAGTTCTGCAAGTCACTGGGGACCTTTAATGGTCTATATACTGAGTCATGTACAATGTACCTCTGCTGGTTTTTCATTGGGTAGCATGTAATATCTGACTTCTTTCACTTACTAAAATTTTGTCAACATTAATATCACTAATTTAATAAGAGGGGATTCAGAGGAAAATAAATCAATATTTGCAGAGAAGGGGTTTTGTTCTTTTTAAAGGTCAATTAAATGGCTAAACCTCGATCTCAAAGGGAATTATCTACGGTCTTGCAGCTAAAAATAATTCCCGAGAAGGGTGTAGAAAGATGGTCAGCTGTCTGAACTAACTCCTTATTCACTCTGCCTGAAATACGCGAGAGGGAAGAGGCACGCAGCGTCCCCACATATCAGAACCTGGTGCCCACGAAGAGACAGGAGTGTCGCCGTCTACCCTGCTGGGTATGGGGAAAACTGTGACTAAAGTGGGGCTTTTGAAAATATGGCTCTGGAGTATTCATCGATCTATACATTGATAGAACTTTGTCATTGTGGCCAAGCCTGGCGCTTAGGCAAAGAAGAAAAGGGTTTTAAACTTGAACTGTGTTAACAACTCTGGCAATAATTTACAGTTAGGTAAATCAAAGATCTAGCATTATAGCTTTTCTCTGCCCCAAGTTCTCTTGATAATTTCTAGACTTATAGCCTGAGTCAGTCTGCAGCTGACTGACTGTAACCCTGGCCATTAGAGTCAAAAGGACATAGTATTCACAGTCACAGTAACCATATATGGATCATTGAAATTAACATCTTTATCAATACAAACTACTTTTAATTCAATATTCTTTCAACCTCCTCCCACCACACACACAATTTCTAAAACAGAAGCAATATCACCCATGAATGGTGAATTTACAAGGACGATATGCCCACTGGTAACAAGCTTATAAAGTTATAAGTAGTCACTTTAAGTTAGGTACCAAGGAAATTTCCTTCAGAAAGCCCAGTTGCCAGGTCTGGGTCCTTCTGCTTACCTGCTTTGTGTATTTGTTTACTGCCAAAGGAAAGTCCCAGGCAGCCAGGTGCAAGAATGCACGGCTCCTCAGAAGGTGAAAGGGATGTCCAGTGTCCTCTGAGCAGTGATCTCAATTCCGATGCTTTGCATGTGGCTGAAATAGCTCAAGTGCTCGGTGCCTCACCCAGGATTGAGAGCTGCTCCCGGCTCAGGGCTGGAGGGGAACTCGGTTTAAGGCTAAGTGTTAAAGAGAATTCCTGTCATAGCTCACAGTTGTTCTTCCTAAATATAGAGTTTGATACAAGCCATACGCTGGCTGCCTCCAAAAGGCTTGACCGTGCTGAAAGCAGGGCTCAAATGTCAGCCGGAAGGTGGCTACGGAATCTTACTGCCCTCCTAATCTTCCAGAAGATACTTGGCT